TGCTCTAACTCTGCTGCTGCCTCCCAGAAAGTGTTTCCAAAAGTCCCTTTTGAGAACTTTTCCCTGAGTGTGTGTCCCTGTCACAGAGTTTTTCTGCGTCTCTATTGCAGGACACGATTCATCAGCTGGAGAATGAGCTTAGAGGAACAAAGTGGGAAATGGCACGTCACTTGAGGGAATACCAGGACCTCCTCAATGTCAAGATGGCCCTGGATATTGAAATTGCTGCATACAGGTACAGTAGGAGCATTGCGGACGTGTCTGGAATATTAATAGCACTGCAGATGCTGCTGGCTTGGGATGCTTTACCACAGAGAAGCAGTATCTGCATGTAGTGAACACCAGTAAAATTAGAGCTTGACTAAATTACAACTGTTTCAAAAAATCTATACAGACCACGGGGAGTTTGTGGTGAGAAGCCAGAGCTCCTTAGGGACCAGCTTGCTGGTCACCAGTGGCAAAGCTCCCAGGGAGCTGGGTGGGCACAGGGTGGCATGACTCAGTGCGGCGGCACCCTGCTGCTGCATTCTGCCCTTGTTTACAAAAGCAGAAGATGCAGCAAAAGACAAGTTTATTTTTAATTCCTGTGTGCTTCAATCACCCTTAAAAGTCTTTTTCCAATCTAGGCAATTCTGTGATTCTACTTTGCTTTGCATATGCCAAGCAAGCGGTGCTTGTCACTCGAGTTCCCTTTTATCAGTGGAGAGAGACAATGCACTTGCTTGATCATGGTTTCAAGCAGAGAGTTCTAATCTGCTTGTCACAAACACTTTTGCTTTTCTTGCTCAACTTTCCTTTAAAGGCATCCACTCTAATCTGGAGCAGGAACGTTGCTTGCTATTGCCATCACCTGGCAGGTTTTTTAGTCTCCTTTGCATCACTTTAGAACTCTCACCAGAGAACTGCTGATTTTTCTGGGTCACAGGCTTAGATGAAAAACATGCATTTGAATATAAGAAAAGTAAAAACAGGAAAAAAAAAAAAAAAAACATTTCCAGATCTGCTTAAATTCCCAAGGCTGTTCAGGCAAACACACAGATACCCCGGGGTCTGTAGCTGTTTGCTGCCCAAGTTAAGTGAACTAAAGTCTCTTCAGTTCTCGTAGCCACACAAGAAAGGTGGATGCCCAAACTATTGAACTAGGACATACACTCTAATTAGCTCTGAATGTCTCAGCCACAATATTTGGGTCTGTTGGCTGTGTCAAATTCTCAGTTCCCCTAAGTCATAATGCATCCTATGAAGTTAATTATTTTGCAACACTCTGTGCTGTCTTATAATATAATGAAGTTTTTGACATTAAGGATGAATTTCGACTGATCAGCTGAAGGTGTTACACTTGCCACATGCAAACCAAGCTACAAGCTGTTTGCTGAATGTGAATTTTGCCAAAGAGCTGATTCGAGGAAAGCCGAACTGGGGCTGCCAGCGATGGATTATGCTGATCAGCTCTAGCATATTCCACATATAAACTGGTTTCATCCTGCTGACAGGGAAATATCCTAATGGCTGTCCCTTACGTTGCATTTCTATCCTCATTTTTTTTTTCCTTCTCCTGATTCCTTAGGAAGCTACTGGAGGGCGAAGAGACAAGATTCAGTGCCTTCTCTGGAAGCATTACTGGACCCATCTTCACACATAGGCAACCATCTGTCACAATAGCATCCACTAAAATTCAGAAAACAAAAATTGAACCACCAAAGCTGAAGGTCCAGCACAAGTTTGTAGAAGAAATCATTGAAGAGACAAAGGTAGAGGATGAAAAGTCTGAAATGGAAGATGCCCTAGCAGCTATTGCAGAAGAAATGGCAGCCAAGGCCCAGGAAGAAGAACAGGAGGAAGAAAAAGCAGAAGAAGCAGCTGTAGAGGAAGAAATTGTTTCTGAGAAGGCTGCTGCAGAACAAGCAGCTGCACCTGAGGAAGAAGAAAAGGAGGAAGAGGAAGGAGAGGAGGAAGAAGCTGCAAAATCTGACGCAGCAGAAGAAGGAGGTTCTGAAAAAGAAGAAATAGAGGAAAAGGAAGAAGGAGAGGAGGCTGAGGAAGAGGGGGAAGAAGCTGAAGCCAAGGGCAAAGCTGAAGAGGTGGCAGCAAAGGTAGAGAAGGTCAAAACACCTCCCTCAAAGTCACCCCCAAAATCCCCCCCTAAATCCCCTGTGACAGAGCCAGCCAAGGCTGTCCAGAAAGAAGCAGCTGCAGAAACAGGAAAAGAACAGAAGGTGGAGAAGGCTGGTGAGAAACCAGCCAAGGAGGAGGAGAAAGCAGCCTCTCCGGAGAAGCCAGCAACACCAAAGGTAACCTCCCCAGAGAAGCCAGCTACCCCAGAGAAGCCTGCAACACCAGAGAAGCCCTCGACCCCAGAGAAAGCAGTGACCCTGGAGAAGCCAGTGACACCGGAGAAGCCCCGCACCCCAGAAAAGCCGGCGACCCCAGAAAAGCCTCGCTCTCCAGAAAAGCCAGCGACTCCAGAGAAGCCCAGTTCTCCAGAGAAGCCAGCCTCCCCAGTCAAAGATGAAAAGGCTGTGGTGGAGGAGACCATCACAGTCACAAAGGTAACAAAAATTAGTGCAGATATAGAGAAGGAGTCCAGGAAAGAAGACATTGCAGTGAATGGTGAGGTGGAGGAGAAAAAGGAGGCATCCAAAGAGAAGGAGGTTGAGGAGGAAGACAAGGGAGTTGTCACTAATGGCCTAGATGTGAGCCCAATTGATGACAAGGGTGAGAAAATTGTAGTAACCAAAAAAGCAGAGAAAATCACTGGTGAAGGTGGGGACAGTACAACCACGTACATCACAAAGTCGGTGACAGTCACTCAGAAGGTAGAGGAACACGAAGAAAGCTTTGAGGAGAAATTAGTGTCCACCAAGAAAGTGGAGAAAGTTACTTCACATGCTGTAGTAAAAGAGATTAAAGAGACCGAATAAAAATAAATCATAGCTAAATTAAACAAATTTAAAGAGCTTGGGTCGGTGCAAAAGGTTAAGCCATATGACAGCTGCAAAATGCATGTGAGTGACGGCTTCAAAGCAGAACGGGTTCTCTCATGGAGGCTCCAGACACACAGTATTTTACTTTTTTGTGCAATATAGGGGAGGGGGGGGGAATGCATGCAGGCTCAAGATGTACTCCCTCCACAGAGCTTGGGGATCTAAAAAAAATAAAAAATAAAAAAATAATACTAATAATAGTGCATGAGATGAATTGTGCAAAGGAAGCTTTTGAATTTCCTGAGCTGTTGGAGGGACATATCTGAGGAACGACTTAAGATGTATTATGCAAAGAACCAACTGAGCCAAAACCAAACAGAAAACAGTAATAGAATATTCATGAGAACCAGAAGTCTCCTAGCCTTAAAAAAAAAAAAAAAAAAAGCTACTTATAAATAATTATGTTTACCTCACTGGTGCAATTAGGGTGGACTTTTGCTCATGGGAGAACCTAGTTGACATGCACAGTACGCAACCTTTTGTTGTTTGATGTAAAACAGTCACAGCAGTTCTTGCTCAATAAAGGTCAATACTGAAAACATGACTTGTCTGGTGATTTTCTTTTTTTCCAACTCAAATCCTTCCCTCAAGTTTGATACTCAATACTGAGCAGGAACAGAGTTGTATGGGCTGAAAAGTTACTGGAGTTTTTCTTTATTTCCTCATTTAGAAAACAAGTTTGAATTGGATATGATGCACAAATTTCCTGTAACATAATAGAAACAATTCAGAGCTGCATCCCTGTGCTTTCAGGAGTAAAGAGGAATCTCTCGAATTCTGCTGCCTGGCCTTTAGGTGCTTAGAGGGGTTGCAATTGCTTTTGCTAACAGCCAAGTGCTGCTGACATCATGTATCTGAGCAATCCTGCTTCTACTCGGTGTAAAAGTGTTAAACTCGGCTGCATGTGTCACTTTGCTCCCTGCATGCCAGTCTCAACTTGTAAGGAGAGCCTTAAAGATGTGGCAATTTCCAGATCATTCCTTAATTTTCCCTATGAATCTAGCCTGTCTGTGAGCCACAACTGGGCATGGTATCTTCTCTGACGCTTGTCACTGAAGTGTGCGAAGACCCATTAACTGACCTCAACCAAGACACCATGTGTTCATCAAAATGGGGTAGCTTCTGATGATTTTATTTTTCCCCTCACCTGCCTTAATTATCTGGGAAGATCCTCATCAATTCTCTGTCTCAAATGATCAATAGGTGCAATCTACCTCTAAACACGAAATTAAATATTGAGAGCAAAGAAATTTCTGGGGAAAGGGAACTGGCCCAGAGATTACACTGGTATCAAGTAGCAAAAAATATTCCTAACTTGTTTTTTACATATTTGTCCATTCCAAAATAGCTGTAGAAATGAGACCTTTCAGACTCTGAGCTGAGACTGGGCAGGGCTTGGATTATACCTGGTAGGTCTGACAGATAAAACCAAGCTAAAGCATGTCTTAATTTCTAATAGAAATGCCTCCTAAGTGTTGGCCTGTGTCTGCTACTACTTGTAGGTTGGCTTCATTAAGAAGAGAGCCAAAAGACAATTAAAGGGCCATCTAAAACCCCACCTCATGGAAAATAAATGGAGACAAATGAAACAGGGAAAAAGAGTAAGGTCACAGCCTCGATTTAGGGAACTAATAGGTCTTATTATGTGATTAATATTGTGTTTATTTCTATCATGTTTTAAAAGGAAAACAAAGAACACTGCTCCTGCCTTACCTACCATGACTAGCAAAGAAATGCAAATCATTTTTAAGCCTGGGTTCAGCACATGGGCTGTCCTCAAATTTGTTAGCTAATTGAGAACTGATCAAAATCTCTATGATTTGCAAATGCCTTTCAATTCTTTAGCCTATCAATAATTGAAGATCAAGTGGTTTTTAATTGAAAGGGTTCTGCATGTTCTTCACTGGAGAAATTGTAAAAAGTCCACAGCAGATAAGGCTTTCAAATAAATCTGAATGTCTTTGTCTAGCAAAGTAACGAACGTGTCTCCTGCTGATATCAATAATGGAAATCTGTGCTCAACAGCTTGCTGTTTGAGTGACGTTTAATTAAAGCTGAGTTAGTAAATTAAATGGCAGCTTCTCTGGAGCTATTTTATTTGTGAGAGTTCTAGGTGTATGTGACATAAGAATACCTATAGCTTTATGGAGAATTAAGCAGCCCAGTCACACTCACCTATTGTCAGTAAGTGGTTGCACCAAATCATGTTAAAATACAGAAATGCCCCACGGTTTGTGAGCACTGAAGCTATTTTTCTCTCGGATTTAATAAAAATTTTCAAGATAACAATAACACTAAACCCAAAAATGAAACCAGAGACCAATATTGAGCATAAAACTTTGACGTGCTTCCCAATAAATTCCAGAATCTTCTAAAATGTCACAAACTGCAAAGCCAGTGGGCTACCACCCCTCAGCACAGAAAGTCCAGCTTCTTCAGCATCGAGACCAAGAAGGGTCACCTTGTACAGGGAATTAAATGTTGATGGCAGTGGGAGACTCAAGCACAGCGTTAATGTGGGCTGACATAGGTGGGATCCCAAACCAGCTTGCTATTTCTTACCCTTTCTTTTCAGTTCTGGTAGGATACAGGTACAAGAACCTGTAGATTGTTTTTATTAATTATTATTATTATTATTTTGATGCTGCTTGCACAGTGGCAGTCCAACCAGGACTGCAGTTTCTTGTGTGAGGGGCTGTATCAAAGCTTCTGCCCAGCGTACAGCGACTTTTCCGAATGGTTTTTGGAAGCCACTGCACAGCCTGCGTGGGAGGCAAACTCCCGGGCTACCCACTGGCATCCTGTATCTCAAAATATCCTAATTTCCCCCCTTTTCCACCCAAAATATATTTCAGCTTTTAATTATTACCCAGAACTACTGTTTTTTTTCTCCCCTGTAAAATGCAAAATAGATTTGTGAGTTTAGTCTATTTCCCACTGCAAATGTTTCCATTAAATCCTAAGGGAAATAAGCAACTGGTTAGCACATTTCTAAATATTTATAAAACTATAAGAACCAATTAATATTTAATGTTGCCAAGAGGTTTTGTCTACTGACATCTGCAATCAAACAGTTTCAAAAGAAAGCATAATTCCAGGGCAGAGATGCATGAATAGTATGTTATTTGCCTGTTCTGCACTAATTACTTCTTCAGACTGTGCATAAGCAGTGAAGGGATTAATTACTTTCAGACACAGGAGTTCATGGATCAATACGAAAGACTTTGTGTAGGGAAAAACAATAATGAAAGGAAGTTACTGTGAAGATTTATGCACCTTATTGAAGGTGGACCACCAAGACCCCCATGAGTTCAGGAGCTGGAGGGCTCTAAAATAGGATCTTTTTACTATACCAAGTCGTGGAGATGTTATGATTAAGAGATTTTCAGCACCCCAGAACTAAATTCCAGGTGGAAACAGACCGGGAAGTGTTACAAAACACAGATAGGTTGCATTTGCCAGGGAGCTGAGTCAGGCACTAGAATTTTCTCCAGGCATCAGGGTCTGTGCTTTCCCCATTCACATGTGGGCTTTTTTCCTTCTCTGTTCAGGATTAAACTACCCGTAACTCATCTAGAAGGCAGCAACCGATGAACTGTCAATTATTTAGTTATGAGAAGGTAAATTCCTAGCATGTGGTTATTATACCTGTACAAGTGTTTCTCTTGCTGAGTGGAAGGGGAGTGTGTGTGTACCTGTATCTCAAGAAAAGCAGCCAGGACCTCCCTGTATTTGTCTTCCCTGCAATGAGATCTCAGCCTGATCCAGACCCCATCTGCCCAAACAGCAAAAGAGAATTCAGGGACAGACTCCTGCCTTTACTTGCAGCTATAACTTGGGTTAAAGTTTCTCTCGTGTCTCCCTCTGCCTGCTTTTACTGCATTGCGTCAAAGCGAGCTCCCGGATTTTCAAAGGTAAAATCAGTGTTACCAGCAAGGTCCCCACAACCCTGAGAGCATCTCAGCACACAAATACCCCGTTCCATCCTCTCTCCCACCAGTTTACCTTGGCAGCAAGGCAGGAGCAGGGGTAACAAACCAGGCTGGACGGTCACTGCAGCTTGTCACTCTCTGCAGTTCATTGCCACAGCTGTGACTCACACATTTCCTGCAGAGTCGTAAAGTCTCTCCTCTAACTGCAATACATTAAAAATAACATAAGAAGTGGAGATCAGACTGAGACACGCTGCAAGGAGAAGTGTGTTTGCTGGTGGATCTCCACACGTGCTGGTTTGAGAGCATCCCTAGCAGCCTGCTTGCAAAGGTTGGGAGAGCTGCAAACGGTACTGCTTCCCAGGAGTGAAGGGAATATGAAGGGGGAGTTTATCTGCAGAAAAAGACATGAAAGAGGAAGCCAAATCAAGTATTGAATAGTTAAAATGAGCTCAGAGTGCTTGGAGAAAGGCAGGATGGGGCAGTGGTTTTAATATATGCTGATCTATTCAACAGTGGTTTGGCTTTAACGGCTGTGACGAGTTCTGATCTGGTGCACACCATGTTTTTTGCTCTGTAGGAGCAGAACCTCTCTCCCAACTCAAGAGCCACTCTGAGCATGAATTCCCAAATACCATCTCTTAGACTCGATATTCTGCTGCATTCAAACTAAGGGTATCACATACCCAAAGGAGCAGGGCACCTGCAATCCCATCAATACATTTAAAAAGCGTTGTGCAAACAGCGTGGTTGTGTCTCTTGCCCATGGTACTGCAAGTACCCCCCACTGCTTTCCTGGAGACTGAAAACAAGATTTGCTTTGTAAGAGTAAGTCTGCATAAGCACTCGTAGAAAAATCTCAAATCAAAAGCACAAGGGAAACATGAAAAAAAAAAAAAACAAACCCAAAACAACTACTTAGATGTTGTTGAAGAAAGGGAAAATTGATTGACTTGTTTGCCTTCTGGTTCTCAAAAGCATCAAAACCCCCAAGAAAGTATCAGAAGGGAGATGAAGCATTTGGAAATGATACCAGAACTCCCTGAACAGGAGTTACTGGAATTAGTACCTATGCATACAAGCACTGTTTCCTGAATGGTTTTACCAAAGCTTCTTTTTCTTTCTCCTGCTATTTTTCCTGGGAACATGGAAGGAAAGAATTGCTTTAGGTGCTTACTTCATCCATCATCATCTTCTTTGTAACTCTTCCACCACTGAAAGAGGAGATGCTTTTTTAACACCCCTAAAGTTTGTATAAAAAGACACTTCCTTTCTCTCTGCACGTAGCCATCCAGGAGAGCCCATGAAGTTAGTGTACACAATTAAAAGTTACCCCAAAATCCTATGGAAAAATCCAACCAGCAAAACGTGGCTGTAAAGTTTTAGTGCAGCCATGTAATGGCTGTTTTAACATGAGTTTCCGTGGGTTTAGTTCCTTTAAAATAGTTTAATTCACAACATTAGTCTAGTATAAATCAACTTTAGTTAACTGAAAATAAATAGGCTCAGACCACAGGACACTGACACTGCTTTCCAAATTGCCAGGCTGTGCTGCTGTTTGAGCTGTTCCTATTTTGTGCCCGATCACAGATTAGGCCTTTCTTTTGCTCAC